AATATTCATACAATATAAGTCGGTAATGATACCTCAAACAATAATCGTTTTCGTAACAACTCAATTATTATCATTCCTTTGATTTGAAAAATATAAGTTTACAGATAATTTTTTTTTTTTTCGCGACCCCGTGTTCCCAAAGGATCTTTTACAATAATATCGAAAAACGCGGTAGAATATCATTAAAAGTTTAACTTTTAGGAAAAAGGTCACGGAAGATGTACTATTGTAAAAACATACAACACGTTGTAAATACACACGAATAGTGTTATTTTTAATAATTTATCAAAAGTATACAAATATTGTGTTGCAAGTTCAATGTTCCGCAAAGTTCTACCGTGAGTGTATAATATTACAAATTCACAGAAAAATATCAACTTTCATATTGCGAAACGGAAAATGTAGGTTACCAGCTATATTATATTTTATTAAAACCAAAACGTCGATATTTACCCGAGATATGCAGAATAATAATAATAATAATAATATAAGGGATTTTGAATTATAATATTATGCAAATAAGACCTCGCGAACGTTTCATAATGGTTAAAAAACCGAAATCAAGTTGACTTAAAATATTCTACGGTTTCGGGTAGGTGATTTTGAATTTCCCTAACTTAACCCTCAGATTCAATTTAAACCGGGAAGTTTAATTCCGAATACGTTTTTATGGATAGACATAAATAGACAAAGAGGCAAGTGGAAAAAAAGGCCAAGCTGATCGGGGCAAGATTAATGTTGAAAAATTTGTTTACAGGCAGAAAAAAAAGTCACATGCATCATATTATATTATTAAGCCAATACATTCCTCGGTACGCTGAGAATTTAATAATCTAGTTGGAAACACAACGATAGTTGTTTAATTTGAAAATTCTTAGTATTTTAACGAGTGTATAAAATACACAGTGCCCAAATCTACTGTACATGCATGTTTTTTGAATGTCGTGATTTCCATATTATAGTATGAAAAGCTCGCCCTTATCAATTTAAATTCATAGGAATTCGTTTCAGAAATAGTCTCTCCGCATATAGTTATTTCACTTTTATGCACGTGAATCAAAATGTAAAAAAAAAATATGAGTAGGTATACGAGCAGACAGGTATTCGTTTGATCTTTATTTCCCGTTCTCACGGGTTTTCGACTCGCAAACGCGTTGCACTTTCAAACGTGTTTTACTTTTATACGCACGTATCTATATACCAGCACACTACCAATGTAATGTAATTTTAGCCGGTTTTACCGAAATAAAACCACGCGTGGTTTCGGTCAAAAGCCAACTCGTAATAAACGTATGTATAGATATATTCAATGTAACAACTCACATTAACGTATTTCCCTTTTTTTCCGTTTGGTCGTCTACTCTACAATCACACTAAAGGATATGAAAAAAAAAAAAAAAAACAAAAAAATAATAATAATAATAATTACCTTATCTCCTGATATAATAAAATTTAATACGGTTTTGTTGAAATATCTCATCTGCTTGGATCGCTGTGATAATTGTGATCACACATGATATTCATGAATTATCACAAAAATATCGAAATTATCGTATTTTGGTATTCCGGAATTATATTTATTAATTTATTTCGATTAAAAAAAAAAGTGATAAATTATCTGATAGAACCAACAAGAAAATCTGTTTTAGGTATACAGACTAAAGTAAATACATCTTACGTTTCTATTCCTAACAATAAATGTAGGTGAACAGTAATTTGCATATTCAAATTTAGGTGTTTATAGCTTTGAATTTCTTTCTACCGATTCTTATCAACATCCCGATGGAAATAATCATCTATAGTTTTTCATTTTAAATCGGTGGGTAATAAAGATAGTTACATAGACAATAAGGTAGGTATATGAGAAATAAGTATTTATTATTTTGTAGAATTCATAATTTCTATAATAATAGTATAAATTTGATAAAAGATAATAATAATAAAGTGATAACGTCAAGAAAACATTTGATAAATTATCACAGCGATTCAAGAATTGAGCCCGTTGTGTATAATGTGTATAAGCTATCCCGTCGAAAAATCATATACAAAGAGTAGGTATTTAGTTGTACAAACACATGTATATATTTGTAATAAACAATACATGTATGCGATTTTTTTTATCTGCACACATTTACCTGCATTCTACACTAAATACTACTAAATCGCAGTGTAAACAATGATACGTAATCGGGTTTATCACAGAGAAAATTAATATACGTAATAAATATTGTACTAAAAAATGTACAATATTATTTTTTTTTTTTTAATTGGCTACACTGCTGAGAGACATACACAGGTTTTAGATCAGAAACTAAATGTTATCTCTATTTTATTCTACAAATTACATTGCATTTACATGGAACGGCTGATAACTGCGAAACGGTTTATCGCGTTGTTCAGAACATAATATGTGAGCCACAAATAATGTTTTCCTGGTTTTACTCGCGGTTTTGCAGCGCCATCTATCGGTTTGCTACCAGTTATCTGATTAGACGACTGAATTAATGATTATTAACGCTCACGACGGATATTAATCGTAAGCATTACTCTATCATATTATGATTTCTATATTAGTATGCTAAGTATATTCCTAAGTTTTTCATGGATAACATTTGAGCATACTGTCTACAGCTATGCTCTGTAGTGCCATTTTCCTTATCATTTTTCTGACAAACACAAGTCACTATTCACTTAAAAACTATAAAATGGTGTCCAATTTGGACATTGAATATCAAATAGGGCTGGTATATTATTATTATTGTTTAAACTTTGATATATTATTATCATTGTCACATATCCGAGTTTCATTCACAGCTCATAGGAGAAGAAATATTATCTACGGTTTCAGACATGTTTAATGCTATTATTTTATGTACTTTAAGCGCTTATCTTTAAATCTGTTCAACTGACATACGAATATGTTTAGGTACCTAAGTGCTTAATAACAAAATTCAAATTAACAAAATGGTCGCCAAAATCACGAATTTTCCTCTCCTTCGCCTTTATCCCGACTACTTGGGAAACAACGAATATCGGCAATAAAATACATGTACAGTCGCGTATAATTGCGTATCATGTTTTAAATCGAATGGAGAAAATAATTAATTTGCCAGAACGGCGTGTACCATCGCTAAAATTGTAATTAAAATAGTCATTATATATTAATCGCTATAAACACAAGTATTAGGTACATACAGTAAAAAAGAAACTACACGTGCGTATAATTATATTTACTCGTATTATTTATGTATTTTACGAGTACTTGAATTAATAATAATATTTCTATCGGCAAACTAAATTCATAGGTACACCATACACGGGTAGTAATTAAAAAATTATTTTTTTAAAAATTTTTTTTCATTAAAACGGGGAAAGTATTACGATTTTTATGTTTTTTTAAAAAAAAAAATTATTTAATACTATAGTATTAAAGTATAACTACTATACGGTATAAATAAAAAAAAAAAAAAAAAAAAATTATAATTCGTGTGCATATTATATTTAAGTATATGTGTGACGGTCGTTGAAAAACTGTATTTTACGACCATCCCCAGCGCCGTTCGAATATATATATATATATATATTTTTTTTTCACTAAAAAATATTAAAACGATCCAATTAATATAACAGTGTAATATAATAAGAGCCGCGCACGTTTTCCAGTAAAACACTCGGAATGTGTTGACTTAATTTCCGAATTAAACAGATGTTTCTTTCTGGAAAATTCGAGAACGATAAGAGCGCGCGTTTTTAACACAGTAATATAAAACGTACCGATATTTTTCACGTTCGTTTCGTATAACTGTGCCTATAACGTTTTTCGATTCGCCGGTGAACAACAATATTAATACGGATTCCATAAATTGACAAAGTTTTAGTTGGTATTACAATGCACGTTCGTCGTTTGTCGGTGTTGCCGTTTTTAATTTCCACACGGACCGCTACGGTTGTCGAGTTCGGTATAGGATATTTCCCAGAGATACCGCGGCGGTACATGTTTCGGAAAATCGTGCAGTATTATAGACAAACAGCGCAATTGAAAATTGTCCAACGGAAGAGAACCCGCCGGGATAGAGACGAGTGTTTGGCGGCATCGAATGCGTAGGCGTAATGTATACGAATAACAACACGATTATTTATTAATTGCCCATACGTTAATTACAATTATTGGTGTATTTTCGTCGGAAAAATTTTCCACCCTGATGTCTTTTTCCTCGGATATTTTTACCAGTTACCGTGCACAAGACGAATAATGTCTGAAACGAGTTATATTATTGCGTATAATTCACGTGTTTATACAGTGCCGTCAAATCAATATTCGGGCCGAAAAATTATCTATTTTACTTTGGACGAGTACGTAAATAATATCGTACAATTTAATAGTATTCGACGAGTAAATAAATGGTAACAATTATCCGGCTGTAGGAGAAAAATATAACACGTCGGGTCGCCATTCTGTGTCCACGATCATGACAATTTCATACTATTTTAATGTGTATTTGTAGCGGGGGGCCTCGAATTATATTCAATTTAACGATATTTTCGAACTAAACGATAGGTTTCCGCGGACACGTAGTCCCATTATGTATTTTTTTTTTTTTTTTTTTTTTTTTTAATAATATCGGATTTTTATCTGTTTAACGTTTTTAAAAATATCATGCCATAATTATTTGTCCGTTTAGGGTACACGCGCAGCTGTGCTTTTTATCGCGCTGAAAATCATCGGTGAGACGCCATATTATTAATATCTTCGTTTTAAAACCGTTTCAAGAACGCGATATCACTATTAAATATCAGGAAAAAAAAAACAGAAAACAGTCGGCTATAGTGTAGAGATAATATCGCGAGTTATTCTATATCATTTGAATATCGTGTTTCCCCCCCCCCCCCCCC